TCTCACAGGCTTCTCAGGCAACTGGTCTGTTGGGGAATAGGAAAAAGATTAAGGGAGAGAAACTAATTCCTGTGCCACTCCACTTATGAGAGCTGCTGGTTCAGAAATTATATGTTAGGTCATGCTTCCTGGTCCTCCCAACAGAACTGTTTCAATTTACCTGCTTACATTAAGGCAGAGATGACCTGGTAAAACCTACAGTCAGTGGTACTTAGGACAGTGAAGATATTTAAATAAAACCATCAGACAAATAACCAATACAAGTCTAACTTTGAGGGCCTGACACATTTCCAGTTCCATCCCCACATGGTGACTCTCCATAAATGGAAAACTCAATCCAGACAAGTCAGAATCAAATAACCATTATTCATGCTGAACTCTTTTCACTCCCACTACAGTAGGGACATTGTCTCTCTGCTTCGGGCTATAGCAATGGCCAAACAACTGATCCAGCATTTTCCAGCCAGGACTCTTCTGATGAAGAAGACACAGGATGACCTTCATAAGCATCCCTACCAGCGTCTAGACCTCAAAACGCACAGGTAGCTATGACATGAAAGAGATGACACTGACCTCAAAGAGGCTGAAAGATCACAGGTTCTGGAAAGGTCCTGTTCAAACAGGACTTGAAATGTCCTCAAATTTTGGAACTCTGCAAGAGACTGAAGACCGAGTTATCTGGATCAAATTTGCCACATAAAGCCTTTTATTTATTTTTTAATGGAGAATGTGTTGGGGAAAAAAGGCACCTAGCAATGTGACAGGAGACGAGAAAAGTTGTGGCCTGTTCTGCCTAGGCACCTCCTCACTTACAGACTGATATTTTTACTCAGCACTTCCCAGGGTCCAGGAGAGCAGGATTACTTTCCTACATTGTCCCAGGGAAGGCATTTTAGAAATAGGAAGTCTTGCTGTTTACTGAACACATCATTAGTAGCATTTTAAGAAACAGCACTGTTCAGTCTTATCTTTACACTAATCCTCTGGTCTGTGCATAAACTCCCAAATCAAGACAAAACAGGAGGCGAAGTATATCAGCCTGGACATCCTCCAGTAGAAATTGCCCCATGAGCATATTCACGGGGATCCTTTTAGAGACGGCAGGAGGCGCAGGGTATTTTGGACATCCCGTCCTCGGCCAAACAGAGTGAACTTGCACAGGTTCCCAGAGAGCAGACCAGGTACCTCTCCCTAAAGAGGCGTTCACTTACAAGCAGGAGATTAAGGCAGGGCTGGAAGACAGGACATCGAATACCGTCCTCTTCTGGCCGGAGAGCGGGGCCAGTACGTACAGAGACAGAATCTGCGAGTGGTGGCTGCGGGAGAACAAACCCCCCGTCCCAGGGGGAGGCCTCTGCCGCCTCCCCTCATACCACACCGGGCCGCGGTGCGCCGGGCCCGAGCCCTGCCCGGAGGGACGGGGGGGAGGCGGTGCTTCCTGAGGAGACCTGCCGCCGAGGAGGAGGAGGAGGAGGAAGAGGAGGAGGAAGAGGAGG